TTAGCTTACGATTACTCTCTTGCAGCAAGCACTCTGTTCTTTCCATTCTTTCTTTTTTGGTTTCATTTTTCTTTCTTTAACTTTCTTTCCAACACACTTTCTTCATGAGGTCTGAAGTTCTCAAGGTATAAAATATGCTGATGCTGGTCTTCTTGACTGTAACAGCGTGTAGACTTTTTGACTTAGATGTCTGTATAAATATTTAGATGAACATCATAATTTAAAGGTTTAATCGGGACGTATATTATTAAAATTCTATCCAAGCTAGCTAACCTGACTTAAGATTTTCTGATTGATCTATATTTACACTACAATCAGCTGTAGTGTTCACTCGAGACGCATAGCACATCAGATAATTCAAATAAGACATTTAACTTGAAACTGTAGTAGAATTTTCTCGACACCATTCATACAATTACGCGCATTCAAAGACTGTGAAATACTGAAAGTGCGTTGACTCCACATGAAATGCGACCTCAGCCTCTTTTCTGATATACCACGAATGTACGGTCTGTACAAACTATTAAGTTTTGCAAACTTCTCGTATCGTCATGAAATTTCGTATATTACTTCGTGAGAAGAATGTAATTAGGACCATATGTGTCTGGAAACATGTACTTTGAAAAGTATTAGATCTAAGAACAATAAAAAATGTGAAATTTGAGACAGGCTTACGTGGAAAATCATAATTTAGACAGTCACGTAGTGTTAGTATTAGTTGTAAACTAGGAAGTAAAATGAACACGGGGATCAGATACGATGGACGAGAAATATTTCTCGTTTTGGTAGGAAACATCTTGAAACGAGCTCCCTGATGGATAACATTAATATAGACCTTATATAAATAGATTATGATGTTAGAAATGGTTTAGGATTTAGTCCAACAACGGCGATGAACCATGAGTTTCCGATACCAGAATTTGTTAAACATTACTCAACTGTTGTATGATACAGTATGGACAGCCCTGATTCAGTTATTGGGCTATACGAGTTGTACACAAACGCAATATGCCGACAAACCGCAGTGCTAGTGTGGAGCCACGCGGGGCGAAACAACAGAAACGGCAGAAGATCGCATTACAACATAGCATGGCACTCACGGTCAGTGGCGGATTACCTCACTGCGTTCTATCCAGTGCAGACGTAGCAGGTATCAGAGTATGTAAACTCATGTTGTTTTAGTTGATTTTAACAGACCACCAGATTCAACGAAAACTTAAAAGCGCGGCGGGTTTCTCAGAACAGAGAGCAATTTAGTCCTTTAATAATATTAACGACTGATATTTGTAATGGTAAGTGTTGTTTTCCTTGAAGTAGAACCGGAATTTTAACTATTTTTAGATGAGCGTCGTTATCAAAGGATTAATACGTGTATTAATTGTATTTTATAGTAAATTAAAATTTTAATAAACACAGACATTAATACAATAGCATAGATTTAGTAAATTAAACATCTCTTTCTCAACTGCATAAGTAATACATAGTCGAATTTGAGAATTATAAATTATGAACTAGACTGAATGTGTAAATAAAGGGACGTGGCCTATTTTAAGGTATCTCAACGGTTGTCTGAAGACACTGAGAATCCAAGTCAAAGACTGAGCCTGGGTCCACTCAAAAATAAAGCAAGAGTATCAACATCTCAACAGTAACATTTGATAAAAGCAGGTTAGCATAGGTAAGCTAAACTTCCGTCTTCAGGTGACCGGTGGGAGAACAAGGCCCTACTCTCTAGGGTACCGTGGTCGAGCTAGTCTCAGCCTTTAACCAGAGAACCCAACAGAACTGGATTTTGACCTGGACAGAAGTAGAACCAACTTCCGAAACGTCATAGATTTTATTTAAAAAAATCATTCAGCTTTTCTCGAGTCGTTACATTCAGACAGACGGACGGGCGAAGTTTTTATTAAAATTCGGATGTGTGAACAGTTTAGTGTTCAGTGACTGTATTCATCCTCGTGTACCAAATTGAGGTTAAAGGTATGAAAAATTGCTGCAACATTTCTCAGAACTCAATGGTATAATTTTCATATGCTCCGCTACAGCGCTACAGAAAGCTTGCTATATATATCGATGTTTTTGCTCCAATTCTTTTTTTTTTTGTTCCCTAACGTTTTCACGAGTCCTTTTTATCGTATCTTCGCCAGACCGTCATATTATTTGAAATTCAAAATTGGGTCTTGCGACTGAAGTAATGGTGCAGTCAAACGTTTATATAAGTTATTTCAACTCCGCAGCGAATAATATTAATAATTCAAAAGCAGGAAAACACCAGACTAGACAATTATATTTGTTGCCTTTCCTTTTGCTGTCTACAAGGAACAGATTCACAGTAAGAAGCTATTTCATAACAGAATCAAACTGCATGCTTCTGTGTTTCCCCTTGTGTTCAAACAACTTTCAGTGTACTAACCTAATCTCTGTTGGCAAGATTTCAGTTTCTCACAGCCGCGAGAGTAAGAAAATGGTTTTTTCCCGGATTGTTATGCCGTGTAATCTGGTAGAAGTTTACCGACGTTTTAGAGGTGCTTGCAGTCTCCGTCATCAAGTCAATCGCCCTGATGATGGAGGCAGCAGACACCTCTTAAAAAGCACATTTCATCCTACATTTATTATTTTATAAGCAACGAATATGTCAGGCCTTCTCCATGTAATGTTTGCACAATTTAAGGAGAAGATGCTTCCTGTGACTGCACCAGCATCCATGCTGGTAGCTATGTACACTCTGTGTGAAAAATATGAACTTAAACTGTCCAGTTAAAATTAGTATTTGTGTGAATACAAAATACGCACTTAAAATGTTGAGTCATCATAGCATCCAAGGCGAAATACGTCTGAGGCAGTGGCAGGTCACGAGGGACCCCTCTCTGAAAGCTCGGGTCAACCACTTCTAGAGATCGGTGGACCTATCGGCTGAACGAGTGGAGAAACGAAGTGTGGAGCGATACGCTGCAATCCTTGGACAGCGAGGACCAGTCGCTAAGGAAGATGACAAAGCGGGTGATGCGAGACCCCACTCCGTCGCTCCCCTTGCAAGTGCCGGGAGAGCTTGCTCTCTCGGACTCCGAGAAAGCGGAAGCCCTGGCTGACAACCTTGAGGTCCAGTTTCAGCCGGTGGACGAACCGTCGGACACAGCAATTATTGACATGGCTAACGTGGCGATGCGCACATACGAGTATGCCCACGCAAATGAACTGAAATTAACCAGTCCATCGGAAGTCCTTCAGGCCATCAAGGGACTCAAGGCTGGCAAGGCTCCGGGCATGAACGGTATTCTGAACAGGGTCCTAAGACTTCTACCAAGGCGCACGATAACCTTTCTCACGAAAGTGTTTAACGCAGTCCTGCGCAGGCAGTACTTCCCACCGGCATGGAAATACGCTCGCGTGGTGTCCATACTAAAGCCGCGGAAGGTCCCCACGCTACCATCTTCCTACAGACCCTTCAGTCTTCTTGACGCGGTCGGCAAGGTCTTCGAGAAGATCGTATTGCCTAGGGTCCTACACGAGGTAGACGAACATGGGCTGCTGTGTGACGAACAGTTTGGGTTTCGACCCAGACAGGACGACACTGCAGCTGACACGCCTCGTTGAAAAAGTCAACAGAAACTTTGGCGAGAGGCGGCTAACCGGCGCTGTTTTCCCGGATGTGGACAAAGTCTTCAACACAATACGGGTCACAGGCCTCCTTTGCAAACTAACCGTCCTACCTGGTGAAAATCATCTCATCCTACCTTGCCTGCCGAACATTCCAAATGTCCTTCCAGTCAGTTACATCCACGTCGTGCCGTGCGGGCCGGAGTGGTTCAGGGTGGACTCGTCTCCCCTGTACTCTTCAGCCTGTATATGAACGACATCCTCCCACCACATCGAGCTAGCGCAATACGTGGATGACAAGGCTCTCGTAGTCACATCCCGAAGTCCGACGCTTCTTGTCGGTTATATGGAGGCCTACCTCGGTAGACTGGAGCTCTGGTTACGGCCTTGGATGATTCCTATCAACGTCTCGAAGAGCGCCGCGGTTCTCTTCGTTAAGGCCGCGAGACGCACCCAAAAGCCCAGAGCCGTGCAGTTTCTAGAGAGCCGATACAATGATTTGAAACGGCGAAGTAACTTGGGGTGATCCTTGACACCGGGCGCATGTCAGCCAGGTGGGAAAGAGGGCGGCGCGATTGGGCGTACATGGCCCCCTCGTTAACTGGAGAATTGGCCTATCCGTGAGAACCGGTGTGCGGCTCTACAAGCAACTCATCCGTCCTAAGATGGATTATGCATGCCCGATCTGGAGGTCAGCTGCTAGCAGCTACGTCCGGAAGCTGCTAGTGCTACAATCCAAGTGTCTTCACACTGCGAGTAACGAGCCTTGGTACGTTAGTAACAGGCAAATCCACAAGGATTTGGGGATTCCACTCTTCGCCGACCACATCAGAGCACTGACTGAGAGCTTTGACTAAAGGTCAGCTAATGTGGGGAACCTCTCGGTTCGGAAAATTGGGAGGCCCTTGTGCCGATCGAGGGCTGACAGAGATCACCCACGGGCAACTGAGGGGGGACTAATTTTTAGCAGGCCAGCCGAGGCTGACCCTGAAAAGATGGCCAAGTCGGCACAACGAGTGTTCTGACCATTCGGCTACCCTGACAGTTTTCCCCTGATTTTCCTCAATTGTAAGGCAAATTCCACGGCATAATTCAAAACGGGGGTGGCCTTCCCTCTCCAATCATAGAAACCTTCAGCTCAAGTGATAACCCCTCCCCCCCAAAGTCGCACAGGCCTTCAGACAAAGAGATCCCGGCCCTTCTGGGTTCAATTCCCAGAGAACCATCCAACCAAAATCTTTTTCACGAAGGGAAAGTTGCCTGACGGGATAACCTCTCATCAGCAGCAACAGACCCTAGTTCGAATAGTCTAGGCTTCCACCGTGACAAAACCCAGTTAGCGTAAGCACACCCCCATTTTAGTTATAAGGCTACACAGTCTTATATAAATGAACACAGCAGAGGAAATTTACATTCGTTTACTTCCTAAGCCCTACGTACATAGTTCTACATTTTTCTTAACAAGCACAGCAAATTTCCAGTCATGATTCACCAAACTACAGGCGTATATTTCTTTTATGGAACTTGTGTAACTCAGGATATCATGAGTCAGTACACATTTTGTCCTAGACACTCCCATGTTCCTGGGCCTATCTGAAGTCAGGATTCCATAAAGTAGATAAGGTTTTCCCTGGCACTCCTCTTTTTCTGAGCTGCATTCATAGTCAGTTTCCAAATATGTTTCCTCTGAGGTAATCTAACTCTCTGTGACTTCATGCCTTAGACTCTCCACGCCCTCCTTTTTTATACAAGGCCTGAAGAACAAGTAAGGCCCTCTCCCTGAACATGTCCATGCCCTTCTAATCTACCCTGGAACTTTTCAGCCAAACATATAAACAAACAGGAGCAGCTTCGTAATGGTGAGAAGCATGTGACGTTACTGCACCATCCATATAGCGATCCTTGCAGTTGGTGTGCGGTGCAGATGGGAACACCCCACTTGCACAGAAACTGATGCCTCACTTCTGCCTGAGTGTCTACGCATATTCAAGGCAATGAAAATTGATTGTACATCAGTTAGCAGTACAAGGGTGGGACGTATGGTACAGGTGATTTCCTTTAAATTAGTAATATAATGCAAATATTATATAAGATACACAGTGATGTCCTCATTTCAGAAATAAAACCATAATTTAATTATTAATGGTAATCAGATGTTTGTTATGTATGTGCATACCTTGGTCCTTCAGAAATTATATCTTCTGTCGCAAGGTGCTGACAGTCTTCATCCCTGGTGTCCACGAGCAAGCAGACACAATGCTCCAGACTGGCAAAAACACATTCAAAACCAGGTTGTCTCAAAAGACATCTGACGCCATGAAGAATCCTCACGTCATCAATAACATCACAGGAGACATTAATGAGGAGACTGCAGCCATTCCTGCATACATGTTATAAGCGTTAGAAGATGTATTCACACAAATATCAAGGTTTCTCAACTGATCAGAAATGAAAACAGCTCAACACAGTTTGAATAAAACTGGTCTGATAGTTTATTGAAGTTCATTACCCCAATAAAGTAAAGCTGTCCCACCACATGCCATGGAGGATCTTTGAGCGAGAGGAGGAAAATCTCCTTTGACCTCTTGACCTCAACACTACACGGGGTTTAGTGGTCAGCATCATGCCATTTTTACCCCCCCAGAAAGGACACCTAGTACCCACTGGATAGGAGGCTGGGTGCAAACCCACAGCCAGTTGGGTGCAGAGGCAACTTTGCCCTGCCAGGAATTGAACCTTTGTTGGCCAGTCCATAATTTGACTGGCTCCCATTACCCCTGTGCTTTTGCAAATTCAAGATAACCCTCTGATTCTGAATTCCTAAGCAACATTATTCATAATTAGCATCTGGTTTGACACTCAGTCTCCTCATAGCTTGTTTGAAGTGACTGGGTATGCACGTGGACACTTCATTCAGTCTGAAAATGATAGCAGCAACTTCTTCGCAGATGTCTCTCTAGTTTCACAGAAAAGAAGTAAAGATTAAAATCAAGCTTACAAAATTGCAAAGTATAACCCATCTACAGTACAGAAGACATGCTACCCTACACAACTTAACGTTCCTGGTGGGCAGTATGTGACATAATAAATTCGGATCAAAGCCAAGAAGCATTACTACAATTATGACATATATTTACCTCCATTAACATATTGCACACGAATTTCAGTATATCAATTCTCATTTCGTGATTCAAACACAATCCAAAAGAGGGTTTTATATTATATCCTCATGCTGCATAAGACTCCAAACCTTCATTTTAAACCTTAAATTTGATAGCCAATCAAATGACATCTTTCCATATCTTGGCAGAGGTGATAAAATCACACAGTATCTGTACTGTAGCCTCATATTTAATCCGTGGCTTTATGTGTGAAAGTAGTTGAATGCGGTTTGCTTACAACAGACAAAAAAAATTATACGCGGGTTACTGGTAGAGGTATATTTACATACATATACTTCCGCATCGTAGTTTACATTCTTACTTATAGAACTATCTATGATATCATCACGTAAGTGTATGTGGATGACGGGCAGATCACAAGTTTTTTTAAATGGGTTTGTAAGTTTCTGCTAAGTCACGCAACAGATAATGGCAATTGTGGGAGGATTTATAATCTAAATGTGGATATTGATGGTAGTTTTGAAGGGAGGAGTTTACAATCCAAATTATATACTAATTTCCGAATATCTGAGGTTATGTAGGATCTGGGGTCAGTTAATATAGATTCAAATGTTCGATAGTTCATTAAGAAACATATTTGGAGCAATTCACATAATATGTTTCACAAAAAATGAGGTTGTATTAACTACAGAGGCCTTATATAGGGCAGAAAATTAATGAAAAGTTAATAGTAATATTTCTCATTTGTAATGGTGTTTTTGTTGTGTTTATTTTTACAGTCTACTTCATTAATAGGATTTGAGGTTTTCGTGGTGGTGAGTCTGAAGATGACTGTCTTCTGGGTTGTTGTGCCATGGCAGCAAGGACCTCTGAAATGTCGGTAAACTTGTACCAGACTATATAGTGCAACAACCCAGAAGACAGCCACTGACTTCATTAATGTGGGATTATAGAGTTTTTGTTATTTCAGGTTAAAAAGTGTTTTAGCAGTATGACAAGAAGAATGGGAGAGAATGAACTGTTACCAGATTTTCCTCCAGGACCACTTGATGTGTATAGAAAGCAAGCATCTTTTGACTGGAAGAAATTAAAATTGTTTCTGGAAGATGAGACAATTACAGGATTCAAAGTAATGCTGAACATATTTCCTGACAGGCAGAAGGATTTTACCTGGTCCTTTCCCGGGGGTAAAGTGTGACCAGGGTGTGACACTGACCACTGATCACCCCTATCTAGTGCTGAGGTTAAGAATGAGTAGATGCTATACCTCCTGTCCCCCTCAAGTGCCTACATGGCATAAAGTGAGACAGATTTATTTTTATTTCTTTACTATTTTTAGTAAAAATGGCCAGGGTTCAACAAATGTTAGCTTAGTTCACCAGTAAAATAAAATTGTAATTCATTGTGTTTTTTTCAAAGACATAAAATAAAATAATTTTATCCCAGCAAGTCCCCAGGGACGATTTGGTATATTTACCAGATTACTTTCATGTTTCATCCATTAGTTTACAAATTTCAGGCAGGTTCTGGTACTCAGACAACTTGCTGTTTACTGCATACTGCTGAATAAACACATGATTCTACATGTCTTTATGTAAAGCAAACATTAAGAATGTTCATTTGTGTAATCTGAACCTCTTGGTAGATTTCTATCATATTCTATGTGGGAATTCTGTATTAAAGTTTAGTGACAAAATATGAATCATGGATTATGAAGAATTGTGGATGACATTTTGTGTTTATCTCATTAAACATGTAAGTTTTTTAAAAAAAATAAATGTTGTAGAATTTGAGGTTTCATGGCGGTGAGTCTTCTAATATAAATGTTTTTCGAGAGCATAATGGGAAATTCACCTACCTGTATATTTTATATACAGTAATATATTTTTGAGAATTTCTATGATGTTGATCACAGAAATGCCTCTAGATGTTGTAATCTTGCATTTTTCACTTTTACTACTTCTGTAGCAGTGTTCCATAAACTTTCTTTTTCCACAGTATGCACAGCCATAAATATGTATCTGCAGAAATCATTGTTCTATAAGAGTGCAGGAATATGAATACAAAACATACCACATGTTGAATATAACTATTAATGATCAACCTCTGTGCGTGTGTATGCGCGCATGTTTTTTTCTAACTCTAATATGTAAATACAATTTATTTCAAAATTTGCACCATACCAGATGCTGTTCTGTAGTCTGTGGCAACAAAAACTAAGTTTAATGTTCACCATGGACAGCATGCATATTATAGTGCACACACCCAGAAAAATACCATTACTAAGTTACTGCAATATGAAATTAAATGTTTACCTTAAAGTACAAATATAAATACAATGAAACCTCTTCATAATGATGTACTCAGCTTATCAATGGAGGTCCTTGATTTAATAAAGACTGTGAATATAGTGTTTTTCAGTTGGGGTCACAAAATACTTAGATCAATATAAATGCAAAATGGGAAGTGAACTTGATGGTCAAAGATCATGCCCACAGGCATTAAGCGATAAAAATCATGAAAATTAACACTTGAGTTAAACTTCATGTAGATTTCTCACCCTTCCAACCAAACTGAGGTGTCAGTCTTCTCAAGAGCATATAACCTTAAGGGAAAGCACATAACAATGCTTGGTGTGTCATATTTAGAGGGGAGATTTTAGGTTAAAACCCACTGTCAGCTACCTTGAACTCCTTTACTCATAATGTTTGTGTTAACATGAAAATATTTTATTCTTACTTAATTTAGGTAGACAAGAAAGGTTTGTGATGAAACATCTAAAATTTGTCAGCAGCATTGCTTTGAGAGTCAGTGTAATAAATGTTTTCAGTATTTTGTTTACCTCTGATGAAAACTTCAACAGAAACTTTGAAATATCAGGACAGAGCAAGGTACTTTAATTTAATTTATTACAGTGATGTAACTTCTCTTATGGTAGAGATAAGAGAAGCATATACAGTTTTGGTGGAGAGACATTACAGGAAGTGGCCACTGAGAAAATTAAGTGGTGATTGAAGGGATGATGCAATAATATTAAAATGGTTCTTTAGGAAATAGACTGTTATTTGAACCAGACTGAACTGGTTAAGGTTTATAGTCAATGGTTTTGATTGTGCTGTACCTTCTGGGTATGCAGTTTTGTAGTTAATATGCACAAGTCTAATAGAAATCAGTTACAGTAGAAGTCTTGTTACCTCTTTAAGATGAAGATATGGGGGACTTTGGAAGCAGACCCACTGTTTCAGCACCCACAGTCATCATTAAGTTTGGATGAACAGCGGCATCTGGCAACAAGGCAGATGTACCGTATTAAACAATATAATTTTCTTCCACTTGAAGAACTCGCTGCAGACATTAGAAAGGTTGGTAAATATGCACAGATGCATTGCACTGATTTGCAGCAGGACAAGTTGTTATGTGTTCATTTATGTTTTACTTGACAATGTTGTCAGTATTTCAGACAATATCAATCCAATGATGTAAAATCTCAGGATAGCAGGTCTCTAGGTCAAAATTGAACCTGGGACCTCCCAGATATGAAGCAAGAATGCTAACCACTCATATGTAATGTTTGGTGTGACATCTATTGTAGAAACTCATGATAAAAGTGCCAGATATACACTGAGTCTGCTGGCTTTAAAGTGTAAGGAACTTTTGTCACATTAAGTATTAAGAAAATAACTTGGAATTGAAAATAAAATAGGTACCTTAAATATTTTCATTGCATGAACTGCTATTACTTTAAAGTGACCAGCTAGGAAAGTAATTTGATTTTTTAGTTAATAGGATTTAAATACAGTTTGCAGAAGATAACATTAGTAAACTCTTATTTGCAGATTCTGAATCTGAGAGTGATTGTAAAGCTGGAAGTTAGTCTAAACAATAACATTAAAAATATTTTAAAATGTATTTATGCAGCCAAGGGATTTTGTACTAGCCAAAAATAAGAAGTAAACGAGTAAACTTAACCTCAACTTTGATAGTGACATTTCCTTTACATCAGATCTATATCGCTATGACTCACCAAAGATCTTGTAAACTAAGCAAGTAACCAACCAATCAACTAACATCCTTGTACAGGTCAAATAATTCCCATTAATAAGTGAATTAAGTAAACAAAGAACTTGTTTTTCCAGTTGTAATATTCATAAATAATAAAAGATTTTTTATTTTCAGATATTTGCTATGAACTCTGCGCTGTTCCAGATGAACCCATCATTTGCAGTAAAATTCCTTTTGACTTTCTCTATGTTTTCAAATACAATCTCTAGTATGGGAACTGCAAGGCACTATCATTTTGTGGAAGCTATTGATGAAGGAACAGTAAGTGTATGGACTGTATGTAACCTCTTGGAACAGGCTCACAGAATGGTTGGGCTCAGCATGGTTTTGGTCTGATAGTTAACTGGCATAATAGGCAATCGATTTTGTAAATAATGTGACTTATAACACAAATAGGATTATTGAATATTTATGTTAATAATTGCCGAATTTTCGTGTTTGTATAAATACATCATTGTTAATTGACATTCCCATCACTAATTTGATGTGTTATGGGTATTTGTCATACTTTTAGATTGGTGGCTGCTTTGCATTAACAGAAATATCTCATGGTACCAATACCAAGGGCTTGAGAACAACTGCCACGTATGATCCCAAAACCCAGGAATTTATAATACACACACCAGACTTTGAGGCTGCAAAATGTTGGGTAGGCAGCTTGGGTAAGTGACAAAACACTGATCTGTTTCTATAGTCCCTTTACATCTCCACAGCATTTCTTCTTTGCTTATTCCATGGTTCATGTAATGATGTTTTGTAAGCTATGTATTATATAATACTGGATAGCAGTATGCTTGTGAATGATGAATTTAGAAAATGTGGAAATAGTCATGGAATATTGAAAAGTATTATCGCAGCATATTCTGGAATAAACTAATATATATTCTTCCATCCTTTAACTCATCTCTGACAGACTATGAACTTTGTAAAATATATATATATATATATATATATATATATGCCAGACTGTACAGTAGTTAAAATGTTAAAGCTGCAGATTTTCTCTGCTGATTATCATTTCAATATTAAGGGTAGCAAAATCTGTATCATGGAAAAGAGGAAGATCAAACAGATCATAACAAAAGACATGATGACGATTCCGACAACAAGCACCACCAAGTTACGGCAGAGACATACTGAAGTTTTGTTTTGAGGTACAAATGGTTTTAATTTTGACATTTTTAAGCAAACTTTTACAGACTTGACCTGGCAGGTGTGAAAAGTGCTCTGCAAGTAACATCTGAGATGTTACATTTGTATTTACTAAGTTAACATAGATATCCAATACAATTATTAATGGCCAAAGCCTCTATTTTTTCACAAATTGCCAGAGTAATTTAGATGCTTGTCCCAGCAATATATACCTGTTCAATTCCAGCAGAGAAGAAATCAGGACTCTATTTGCACATAACTGTGCACCTTGCTTTTCGCTTTGTCATTATATTAGCGATGTTTTCCTTTAGAGTGTTTCTTCAGTGGTCTAAAATGGTGGAAGTCAGTAGGTGAAAGATCCAGGCTATATGGTGGGAAAGACATTCTCCATGAAACTACTTCAGGAGTGATGACTGAATGAGGGTGGGCATGGTTATGGAGAGCATTTTAGCGTATTAGGAAGACGATGAGTTAAACAAATCTCTTCCCTTCTCTACAGGAATCAAACAGGTATCATATTGCATGGACAAATGTTTCAGTCACTTTGGAAATTATGTGGATAAACAGGGAGGTTTGTCAGTTAACCATTATGTTGGATGTCCATGTCATGGTAGTAAACAGGAGTGCATCACACCCTCAGATGTTACTTATTGAACACTGCTTGTAATGTGTGACTAAAAGACATGATTTTCTTCCACTTGTTAATAATATAAGGTGAAGACATTTCATGCTCGTATGGAACCTGAAAGTTAACACTGTTGACAAATATCTGCCATTGAACCCTCTCCTGAATTCTCATTCTAGTTCCATTTTCATAGAAACATAAAGGGAAAACTCATGTTTCTTAAGTCCAAAATGTTACTTATTTCAGCAAAGATAAATTCTTTTTTAGGGAAGTGCTGCACCCATGCTATTATCTACGCCCAGTTATTCACTGCTGATGGCACCAACCATGGTCTCCATGCATTTGTTGTTCCTATAAGAAATACTAAAACTCTGTGTGCCTTTCCTGGAGTCATTGTTGGTGACCTGGGCGAAAAGATTGCCCTGAATGGAGTTGACAATGGATTTGTCATATTCCAAAATTATAGGATTCCACGAGAGAATCTACTGAACAAGACTGGAGATGTCAGCCTTGAAGGACAATACATCAGTACGATCAAGGATCCTAAAAAGAGGATGGGTATGAATTTTGTATTATTGAACACAGCTTTCCTTTGGGGTTATGCCTGTTTCTTGATTTAAAGATGTTTTTTCAGCCACATCAAAGGAGATGATGACTGTGATAATGAAATGGGAAAGATGCAGTCATGAGCTGTACTAAGGTACTATCATCCCCTAATCTCCATCTCAGAATTTGTAACCTGCATCCTGCCACCTTTAGTACCACTACCACCATAACCACTGGCCCTTTTACCAATTGCTACTAACAGTTTCTGCAGTATGTTGTATCAATTTGTTTAGGTGCTTCATTTGGAGCCCTTTCAAATGGTCGAGTATCTATTATTGGAATCTGCATGTCATATCTCACTAGTGCTGTAACCATTGCAGTCCGTTACTCAGCAGTCAGGAAACAGTTTGGACCTGAGAATGGCAATGAATTCCCTGTTCTTGAATATCAACTTCAGGTACAGAATAATTCTGTAATTTTATTTGATGTCATACAATAAATACACACTTAATATGAAGTCTTTATCATATTGTCTTTCAGCAAAGTAGATTACTTCCCCATCTTGCAGCTGCATTTGCAATGAAAATTTTCTCAGATTACTTCAACAAGATCATTGGAGACTTTACTGTCAAAACTATGATGGGGGACAAAAGTGATGAAATGGTAAGTAAACTATTGTGGATAGGTATTTTCCAAATAGAGTATTTGCTAGGTTACATACTCCATTTATTGCAGATACAAATATACTGAAAAAAGCCAATCCCACTGCAGTATCATACTGCACAGAGTCAGAAATTATCTTTTCCTAGTATTTCATTGAATATTCGCCATAGCAAAAGATTATTTCGTATAGAGCTGTAGATCTTAATGAGTTCTAAAGCTTATGTCATCTTGTTTTTAGCCCATACAACAATAAATGAAATAATTAAACAACTCAAAATTATCTGTATCTACACCCATTAATTTTGCAATGCATCAGGGATGCCCATTATCTCCAAAAACTTTGTTAAATATAGACAGCAAGAAATAAATGTTTCAACACACTGCTCTACAGATGTCTAAGTAATAATGTCAAATTCAGAGGATGAATTACATATATCAGCTTATAACTGAATAAATATGCAAATATATTATGACAGTTTAGATAGAGAAACAGTGGCATTTTATGGGTGACAGCCCACCAAAGTGAACTAGTTATAATCAATAAAATTATTTAAGAAGTTATGTAATACTTTATTACTTGGGCTGCTTAATGTCATGAAGGAAAGAAAGGTATAGAATCTAAAATTTCTCATGTCATCATTTTTGTATCAGAGTGAGAACTAGACAATCAAAACAAGAGCCAACCAGAATTAGAGCCACTGAAATGAAATTCATGAGAACAGTGAAATGCACTTGGACATAAAAAAAGTGTAAAAGATCTAAAAGCATAGCTTATATTGGATAAAGTTTTGAAATATAAATCCAGTTGAATTTAGCATATTAACAGAATTCAAAGAGGTTGACTTCCCATAATATTAAAAATTGTGAAGTACATGGATTAAGAAAATGAAGATGGCCTTTAAGACTTCAGCAGTTAAGGAGAGAATGGGTCAACTGGTCTAATTCATTGACTGCTAGATGATGATGAACAAAAATTAAAACTGCTTTATAATTTTTAATGTAACTCCCCTCGTCATACCATATTTTATCAAAATCTTTAGTTTCAGACACACTTCATGTATACCCTCTGTTTATTTTGTACACAGAATGCATGATCAGAGGCTTTTGCACCAGAAGTTATTTCATGTATCTTTTGGTTAATTAACTCCCTGTTAATAGAACCAAATGATTAACACATCTAATACCATGGCTAAAAAGATTCTTAGAATTACTTGAGTAAAACAAGGAAATGTTCTGCTTTGTAATACCCATAGCAGGCCATCTAATTCTAATACTGGGAAGGATTATGACTGAATAAGTAAATAAATTTTCAAATACAGTTTATAGATCAGTCTTACATCCCAGCAGAGTGCTTAGTACTCCTTCATATTTGGAACATTCCAGCCTAAAATTTTAGCCCAGAGATCAGTTGTCCTGATTATGGGTTTTTGTAGTTTTCTTCTATTGCTGTAAGCAAATAAATGCCTTAAATTAGGCCATGACCACTTCCTTCCACATATTTTCCAATTCATTACTCATCCCATCATTCAAAGCTTCTGATGAGCTGCTGTCAGTATCATTAAAGAAACCATCAATAGAAATTCATACATATCTTCATATGTGGCTTACAAAGTACATTTACTTTCGATATCCTGTACACTTTCCTAGCCTTGTTTATAGAAAGATTATATGAATAAAGTCACAAGGCACTCTCTCCTGTCTTGTACAGTTTTTCTTGTGTGTTTCTGCAGGCAGATCTAGGAATGGAAATCCATGCCCTTTCTTCAGCAGGGAAGCCACTAGCTGGATGGACTGCAAAGGATGCAATACAGGACTGTCGTGAGGCCTGTGGAGGACATGGATACCTCAAAGGTAGTGTACAGCGTGTATTTGCTTTCATTAGAACCTCTTGTTGTCCAATGCATAGCATATACCCATAATTTGACCATCAATTTGTGTAGTGTATCTGCTATCAGATTTTACAACCACATGTCACCATCTGTACATCTTCCCATAGCTTCTCAAATTCTTCAAATGTTCTTCCTTCTGTGTGACATCTTTCCTTATCATTTGTTCCATTTTGATCTGATCACCTTCTCTTGAATTCTCCTTTTACTTAACATGTCTTGTTATTGACACAAATTTTGTTCCCGACTGGTTTTTTGCCAAAGCAGCAATAATATTGTTTTTGTTTGTATACTTTATTTTACAAATTTCATCACTAAATAGAAATATTCAGAGCTTAATGACATAGTGCCTTGAAAATTTCTCCTTAGTGTCTGGCCTGGGTGATCTTCGTAATGCCAATGATGCCAATTGCACATATGAGGGTGAAAACAACGTGTTGCTTCAGCAGACTAGCAATTGGTTGCTGCAGCTATGGAATAATAAAATCAGGACAAGAGGAGGACCAATATCCACTCCAATGGGATCAGCTGACTTCCTCACAAACATAGATGAAATCTTGAAAACCAGATTTGTTGCAAAAACTGTAGAAGAAACTGTTAATCCTGAAGGTATACAGTGAACATTATGCCTATTTTGAATGAGTTGTTCATAAGTTATTTAATGTCACAATCAAATGATTAACACTGCTGCTTCGTATTATAAATCTGAGCCCATTGATCAACTATTATGACAGATTTGTCGTGGTTTTCCTTAATCCTTCAAACAAATGCTGCAGCAATACCTTAAAATAGGCTACAACAGCTTCTTTTGTAATCGTCCCGCCATTTGACACTACCAAACATATGAAGTTGAAAGGTATTATTAAAAAGCCGAAGAATCAGTCAGTCAAGACTGTATCAGAAGTTATGTAGCCATGATCAGATGTGGATGATAGTCCACCTTTCTACTGCATGACATAACCATACAAATCATTTAAATTTCTGCTAACTGTCTTGAGCACAGATATCTTTTATAAAACTCCAACATTTTTTACATTATGGACATTATCCATCACCCCAGATTTAATAGAACACAACATTTTGGAGGTTGGAATCTGTCTTCATCTTAAGGTAAAACCTGCTCATCATCATGACATTATTGATCATCCTCCATTGAATCCACTAGGGTCATCCTACATTAAGGCCTTCTTCATTCAGCTCTATTCTCCAAAAAGTCCTTCTTTTGTATGTGTCCACACTTTCAGTATTTTGTATCTTTTCTTAGTGTATTCAGTGGTCATTTATTCACATATTCATTTTTGGATGTTAAAAAAGCATGACTAGACATGGAAATAAGTTACAACAGCTATAACCTTGTACCTTTATGATTTAACATCAGTTACACTGTCATGTAATTGGTACTTTATTGTATGATTCTTTTATATAGTAGGTACTGGGTTTGAATCTCAGCTTGGAGACTGCCTATCCTGTCCTTTCAGACAAATTTTGACATATTTAAATAGGCCACATGTTTCCTCCCACATCCCTCCTAATTTATTAACTATTCACAATCACAATGTATATTCTATTAAAATATTGCATATAATGAAATCTGTAAATTATAGCATCTTAACATAAATGGATTACCAAATTATCACTCAGACTTAGAATACACTATTTCTATTTCTAGTTCTGTTAGCTGCCTACAAGTGGTTAGTGTGTTGGTTGTTGCAAGCCACCGCAAATAAAATTGAATCCCAGAATCAAATTGGTAAGGACATGTTCAGTGCCAAGAATGACTCACAAGTGTTCTTCGCTAAAACTTTATCACTAGCATTTATTGAGGTGAGTTGTTTGAACTTTGCACTTTTAGACTGTTCATAAACATGTATAAGCTTTGCCATGCCCATTTGTGCACACATAATCATTTCAAGCAGTATGAACAGACTGTCATGCTTAAATACATTGATCAAATTTAATTATTCCCCACATTATGTAATCATGAATTACCACTTCACAGAGTCTAAATGCATTTTTGGATGTAATTAAATGGGTTACAAAATGTACACTTAGTTCACATATACACAAAGTGTGACAATTCTGGCTTTGTTATTGCCTCTAGATTTTCAATTCATGAAATGTCACATTTTTATGCTGAACAGGCAGGATGGACACCAAGTTGTCAAACAGATTTAATTTTGGCGCATATCAATATGTTATTAACACTTGCTTTACATGAAGTTATGAATGTAACTCTAATCAAACATATCAAAAATAGCTCATCATTGCAAAACTTTTAGTATGTGACATAAAATAGAACTCATTAAGATCTAAAACTTTTATTAGAAACAGTTTTTGAGTTTATGTGTATTTACCAATTTGAAATAAAAATAATTTATCACTCTGTGCAATGTAATATTGTAGTGTGATTTGTTTTACAAGAATAGAGTTGTATCTGTAATAAATGAACATAAACACTGTAAAGAATATATTTGTGAAAAATATGTCCTCCAAACTGGACCATAACTTTGCATTTTTGTTTATGAAAATAGTGTTAATTACAGATTTTTTGGTTCCAGCATTTTATTCTTCATAATTTTTTGACACACATTACGAGTGATGGGCTAGATACACAGGTTAAGGCGGTGCTACTAAAGTTGTGCTCTCTGTATGGTGCTTATAGCCTTGAAAAACATCTTGTTGCACTCTACCAAGGTATGTACTCTCTGATAGTAGATCTACGACCAAAGCTAAACCTGAGACTGGGCCAGCTCAGTAAACTGATGAATATTCTTGAATAGTTTTCATCTTCATTTAAAAACACACAATGTTTTGGAAGCTAGTTCTGCTTCCATCATTAGGTAGACAACCTAATCAGATTAGCTTTTTCCAGTGGGCCCAATTTATTAGGTTGTTCACATGATAACTGAAGCAGAGCCAGATACCAAAATATTGTGTGGTGGTCTAAACAAAGATAATGGAAAACTGCCCAAAATTGTCCATCCATTTGATGACACATCTTTGTCAAAAGTCTTTGCACTAACCAGCCTGATTTAGTTCACCACAGAAGGAACAGATTCATAGCAGAAAACCACA